GGCTGGTTTAGCCAATGCCATAGAAAGAAAGCAAAAAGAGTCCATCTCTCTCTCCTTTTCTCTCTCTCCCTTTTGCCCTTCTGCCCCAGCTATCAGCTCTTAAAACTGTTCCAGTCTTCATCTTAAGTAAGTGCCATTCAGTGTTTCCTCAGTGAGCAGTGATTGATTTGGATTCATTAAAAGCAACTTTGTGCAGAGGGTTTACATTACTGTACACATGAGAGGTAATAGGTGCAAGTGTGGCAGCATGGATTCAAACCTACAGTGCAATGAGGAAAAGATATCATAATTAAACAGTGAAACAATAATGAGCTTATTTCCCTCAGTGGTGTTAAATTTTTGCATATAAATTCAATCTGTATGGTTGGACCCACTGCATTGTTTTACACCCACGTGCCCTGGCTGATGAGAAATATATTGTCTAGTGAGGAATTCTTTTGTCTGTCTTGCTACCCCAGTTCAAAACATAACTCCTGTTCCTTTAGGCACTGGGATTTTGTACTCAGAGGCGTTGGATAATACCCACTGTACAGAGAAAGTGCCTGTGAAATCTGAGTAGAAAAGGACAGTGTAAAGATAAACTCAACACATCATTGAAACCGTCTTTGTGAAAGGCAGCCTGTCTTCATGTTGAACTGTGGCTCAAATGAAGTGCATGTAGGCTGCTCTTGGATGGGAGTTTCAGCAGCCTGACCTAATGAAAGATGTCCTGCCCCACAGCAGGGGGACTGGACTAAATCATTTTTAGATTTTAACCCTCCAACCCAAACTATTCAAGGATTCTATGGTTCATGCTTAAATGTTTAGCAGTCATTCTGATCATCAAGTTTCGCATCAGTAGCTACTTGGATACTTGACTTGGGCCAGCATTTGGGAGGACAATTAGATGGACAGTGTAGAAGTTGTATTCTAATCAGTTGTTGCAGCATCAACTGAAAAGTTGTCTAGAGAAACTGGACGTCAGTTCTTACTATTGAAAATGGTTTATACTTTTTATGCAGGTCTTTTCTTTACACTTTTTTGGTGTTCTATGTCATGTGGTCATGTTTGCATAAAAACAAATACGTTGAAATCTCTTGTTACAGAGTGTCTCTGATACAGTGGGGCAATTTCTGGCAAATAAAATCCTCTCCAGTAAGCCAGTGCCCTGCAGTTGCTCCTTCACATGTGCAATTTTTTCTCAAATTAAGCCAAGAAGATTTCAGTAGCATAAAACCCCCAACACACGTACCTGTCTTGTATGTATTCATAAGGGTTGCAGTAGATTTATACACTGACAAGATTTTTAAAAATGTTTGCTGTGCAGTGCTCATGGTCACAGTGTAGATGAGATATTGTCTGTGTTTTGGCTCTGCATTACACCAATGCTGCAGAATTTTGTGTCAGTGGTAATTTCTCTCAGCAGATTAATTGTCCACCCTGCTGGCATACGTTTGCTTGGACTCTTAACTCTTGTATGGTGATTCAGCCTTCATTAGCAGTGACTGACACCAGTCACCAATGAACCTGCTTTTCTTCCCACTGCAGGAACTGCTAGAGTTTCCTTTAAAGACTGGTGCTAGAGGAAGGCATTTTTCAAGACAAGAAACTATTTGAATTTATGGCTACATGTTGGTTAAATAAGCTCGTGCCTAGGTCTGCCTTTCATTTTTTGTGTACTCAGAAATCATGAGTTGAAGTTGCAAGAGATTACTGAGTCATTTTGTTTCTAAAATCTTTGTATGTTCTTTCTTTTTTGACCTTTTGAGGCTATTGAATATATTCTTTTTTGCCTTTATGCAACTATGAGGGAGAGAAACATCTTTAAATGAAAGATTAAATTCTTAATCTGAAGCTTTGAGAAAAGCAACAAATACCACTGGACTTTGTGATACCAAAGACTTGTCAGTAATAGCTGCAGTAGACATAGGAGAAGCGAGCAAAGGCTGGCCCTGCTGGGCAGTGGATCATGCCCTTTGGAGGACAGCACATGCCTGAAGTTGGAAGGGCTACACCGTGCTAGGAATTTAAGCAAATAATTAAAACATATCTTCTGCTGAGGATTATTTATAATTGCAACAGAACTCTGCTTCTTTGCTGGTAGTGTTGGCCTTCCCATTAGAGCCTTGAAATTTTTCTAAGGAAGACTTGTGATAAATTTTGTGAAGTTGCACAGGCCACATACCTTTTCTCCTTTTTCCCTTCTCCTCTTCCAACTCAGTGCAGAATTCCAGCACATTCAGTTTTCATCCTGTCAGCAGCAACAGCTACTTTGTGCACTGCTGACTCTGTATGTCTTTGAGAAGTTCTGCTTCAGGAGTTGTCTCTTCCATTCCCAGGAATGGAAGTGCTTCTGCTGTGGAGCTCGTGTAGTGTACAAATAATTTTCTTTTTATCTTCATTGAAATGCAGCTGGGACTAGGCACGAATGCACTAAAAGGTCTTGGAAATGGAAACATCTTTCTGTGACTGGTATAATGTGCCTTTCTGATTGAGAGTTGGAGGCATCCATCTTGCTTTTTAAACATCCCATTCATTATTGCTGTCGCTGTGAATTTCATTTGTATGTCTCTTTCAACATATGGACTGATAAACTGCATCCTGCTTAACAATAGGGTAGAGATTTGTTTTTTATGTCATTGTTGAATGTTGTTCAGGAGTGATTAGCTATTGAACAGCACACGCTGGCTAGACTAGAAAAAGATCTGATTATCTTCTCTAACCATTCAAGGATTGCAGGTAAGCTCTGTGTACCAAAAAACCCCAACCCCCCAAAATCCCAAACATTGCACTATGTGCTCAGAGTTTCACTTTCAGACATCAGTTTCACAGAAAATGCTGCCTGGTTCTTTATGTCTGAAGATAATTTTACTAAATGAGATAGGCTTAATTTCCAAACTTCATTGAAATGTTAAGATTAGTCCAGAGCTTATGCCCTTTCTGCAACCCAGTAAAATGGTTTGATTGGTACTACATGGCTGTTAATTTGGGGGAAAGCCTGTTCTACATACTACAGATGGATGTATGCCTCATAGAAGAATGGGCCATTTTACAACTTACAGGCTAGGTTGTTCTGCAATAATGTGGGAATAGTAACCCACAAATATGAATTTACTTGTCTTTTGGTGTATCTTTGAGGTAGGAACTTCTCTTTAAAGTCAACCACCACCATTTTAATTGAGCAGGTTTCTAGCATTGTTTGGATTATATAGAGCTACAATTATAATAATACACACTGTAAAAGAAACAGAGGCAAATGATAAAATTTCATTGAGCTCTTCTGGTCAGGTTGATTAGACCTGTTTCATCAGATTATGGTAATTCAAATGCAGTGGCTGTTTAAGATGGTATTTGGCATGTGTAAAGCAACAAGAGGATACTAAACACACAGGCTCTTCATTAACAGATAAAAGTCTCAGACTTTCTGGAGGAAAACATCATGGGAATGGTCATAAACCCTGAATAACCTTTCTACCAGCAATTAAATTGGTGTATAAATTTGCTGTTAATTCTTGCACATCTTTGTGAGCCTTGCATACTGTTGAGCAGTGTTCTTCTGATGCTACAGATTCCATTCTTTGTAAACAGGAATTCTCCACTGACTGTAATGTAAATTGCAAGGACACATTGCATTGTGAAGAACAAGTTATGAAAATATCTGTCAGAAATAATTACAGTTGATCCTGCTGTCAGGCAGGAATATAGATTGGATAATTTACTGGTGTCTTCCTCAGCAGGGTTTTTTATAGTGCTGTTATCCAGAGTATTAGAATCTAAAATCACTTGTAAGGAGGATAAAAAAAAGAAAGGAAAAGTTATTGATTTTCTCTTCTACTCTTGACTTTGCCTGGTGGTTTGTGGCACAGGCTTACTCATGCATGACTGTGTAGAAAGCAGAGTATGATCACTGATACTGTGTTTTGAAGATGCTGAGGCTCTTGAATGTACAAATCCTGTCTTTCACTGTCATGTTAGGGTGTCCTAAAGGCCTCAAACAACTGTTTGCTCCTTTTGAAGTTTGTATCCTAAATCAGATGTGGCACATAGTACAAGCCTCTGTAGGAACTTGAGGAGACCTGGAGGTAAATGTGCACTGTGGTGGTCTGAAGTGTGTATTTTGCCAAGTCGACCATGCAAGTGACATTTAAGCATCCTGTAGAATGAGTAAATGGGAGAAGCTTCAAGGCTATTGATTGCCCTTGTCCTCTCTCCCCTGCTCTATAGATTATGAGACCTGCTACAGTTGTTCAGGACAGCAAGGCAAAAGAGAAAGATGGAAATGTATAGTTGGCAGGTAGGTTGGTAAACAGCTCTTGTAATTTCATGAGTTTGGTAGAAATTGAAGTGTCAGTATTATTCCTAAAGAGTGGACAGCAATACATCTTTCTAATGTACCCTCTCCTAACGGATATGCAGCTGATAAAATTTTATTGATTTCCTCCCTTCAATTTCCACTTCCGATTACTTCAACACTGATGTTTTGGTGGTTTTAATTTACCTCTCCACAGAAAGTTTCTTTATTTCTCCAGATCAGGAGTAGTCCTTTTCATATAAGCTTTCAAGTCTGTGCAGAAAGAAGATGCAGGATGTGGACTCCTTAAACTTGTCTAATGGCACATTTAAGGAATAATGTATTTCTTGTTTATTTGCCTTTTGAAGAGTTCTCTGTACCTAAAGGCTCATAGCAACAGAAATGTTCTCTGCCACTGACAGGTATCTGCCTATCACAAGGCATCACAGTGATCTCCAGGCTTTTTTAATCCAACAGACTATGGCAGTACATGAAAGGACTGACCTTAGAACAGCTGAAGAGGGTTTAAAAAAACTGAAGCTACTCTAATAAGAGAAAAGGGACCACTCGGTATCTGTGCTGTTTTGACCTGGAGCATGGTAAAACGGAGCAAACAGTCCCAAAATGCACTAACTGACCCAACTCAGACCAGCTGAGGCTTCCTTAACCCTGCCTGTCTTTAATTCCTTGACAGCTGTCTTCCACTGGGACAGAGGTGAAACTTCGACAGACCGCATTTGTTGAGCAGTGCTCCCCAGATTTGCAGCTCTCCCCAGGAAGACCTGAGAACAATTACAAGTGTGTCACCTGGACAAAATGTAAAACTTCGCTGTCAGACTATCCTATCCCTGGTAAGGCATCTAAAGCCACCAATTACTGATGAAAACAAGCTTAATAAATAGGAAAATAACCTGCAAAATAAGGGGACTACTAGGACATGTTATGTGTTTGTGAAATGTTTCCATTAGGCCGTGATGAGCATACTGTAAAAATTGCATGCAAAGTAATAGGAAAAAAAAACTAGTGCTGGAAAAGAAACACTTTCTAAAAGTGTTCTGTTTGTTAGTTTTAGACACTGTTTTCAGTATGCCTCATCTGAGGGAGAGCTGGTTGTGACCATACACTCATTTATGAAAAATGCCTGTGTGTGTTAGGACAGAGCAGGTTTTGATTTTCCCTGTCAATGAATCCTGGAAAAAATATTGAATGAAAATATATAGGTATAGATGACAGCTCTAAGCCTGGACAGAATGGGGAAGCAGACCTGACATATTTAGCTGCACATCATACAGTGAAGTTTCACCACTAAATCCAATTCTAATATTATTTCACTTCTGTAAGAAAAACTGTGCAGTTGTGTATCCTATGCAAAACCTTATGCACATATTTACCTCTGTGGTCTAGAGAATATTGCACATCCTCATATTCCCTTTAGGCCTGTATTTGCTTTTTTTTTCCAAAATCAAGGTCTCAATACACTTGTAAAATTCTCTGTGTAGTATGGATGTGTAGTACTAAGTAGAATAATAGCATAAATGTTACTATAAAAAATGAGCTAGCAGTACCCAATACAATTTGACTGTTCCTAGGTCGTATTTGAATGCCCATGAATTAATGAAAAATGATTAATTGTTATAATGTGCTAAAACACTAAGAAGGACTAAAGATAGTTCTGAATGACATTCTGTGTTAAATTAATTTGCTAAGCAATGCTGAGAACAGCTGCAGAAAATCACAAAGCATTCTTGTATCTTATGTAGCCTACTTTTTTTTTCCACCTCAGTGAGTGTTTTACTTAAGTTTAACTTGTTTGGGGGTTTTTGTGGTCCTTTTAGTTTGATAAACATAGTCAATTAAATTCATGATAGGATGTGACTGGGTAAACTCGGTTTCCTAGGAACGGATCCTAATGGAGGTACAACTGTTGGCTGCATGTTAAGTGAAGGCACAGCAAATTGGAATAAATGAGCACTTTAATGTTTGAACTTAAAGCTCTTTTCCAACCTTTATGATTCTATGACTCTGTTTCCATTTCTGGGTGCCCAGTATGGTCATGTTAAGATGACCTGCCATTAAATAATGTTTGGCTGATGCTGGAGAGGAGGTGTTGATACTATTCTACCTGTTCTGCCTGAAATCCCTCTCAGGTCAACTTGGGAACACCAGTGCAGAGCTTGTACCAGGATTAATTTTGATGGGAACAGCATTGTCATGATGATGTTGAGGTCTGTTCATGCCTGTCTAGGAGAGGTTAGAGAAGAGACAGCACTGCTCATGAATCTGTGCTGTGGAAGAGTTGATGGCAACTCAAAATGCAAGACAGACCCACGCTGAGCTTATTAAGACTTCCATGTTCTAACTACATTAGTACAAGAAAAAACCTTTGCTCCCTTTTCACTTTGTGTCTAGTGAAACCTTGCTCAGTACCAGGGTTCCCTAACATTCCCAGTAACAAACCAACAGCGAGAAGTCACTGAAATGGTGGAACTGGCAGTTTATGGCTAAAGACATAAAGGAGGATTAAAGCTGAAGCGTGCAGGCTCCATGCCTCCCCAGAAGTAATTTCTTGTACATTTTTGGTAGTTTCTATGTGTTTAATTAAAAAAAAAAAAAGAGTCTTCTTCTCTGAGACCAAAGTCTCTGTTGGCTAGATGTACAGGGCTTACATTTCCAAGGAGGTCAGTATTTACATAGCTTTGGTGTGAAAAAACATTGAAGCTCTTACTATACATGGCTCAGAATATCTTAAAGTGTGCAGAAGCTGTGCAAATTCTTTATGTCTTAGAACTGAGGATAAAAAAGCACACTTCAGTACAGGAATATTTCCAATATGCTGTACTGGATACTGAAATCCTGGCATTCACAAAAAGTATCTGCTTCACATATCTAGTCTGCCAAACTTGTTCCATTCAGTTTAGAACTTTTTGGTGTTTCTTGAGACACAAATTTACATGGTCAGAGCATAACAATATTCTTGAACCTTCTTTTTTTCAAAGTTAGTAGCTTCAGCTGTAAATTATACATACTACCTGCAGATAAAATGATTCTGTTAATCAGAGAGCCTGAGAAATTGTGAGAGGAAACTGAAACACAGTTTTTGGGTAGGACCAAGGTAGTATCAGTTGCAACTCAGAGTAATCTGCTGAAATTATTCCCTCTTGTTCTTTCAAATAATGTGTTTTATTTGGATTACATAGCATAGGGCAGTGAGCCCCTGTGTGAGCAAAGTAAAGGCAGCTGGCACAAGGGATTAATAGTGATGCTTTTTTATTGCAGAGGTTTGGCCCTGTAATTTAGAGAAATAGGCCAGAGTCATGAGAAGGAGAACAGGGCAGCATTTTCCCTGCTGTTCTGTTGAGGTCAAAAAGTGGCATTTCTACTGATTGAGTTTCAGTTTTGGAAAGTGTTTGAACAGTTTTGTTTATATTGTGTATAATGCACACATCTATGTATATTTGTGGAAAATCAATAATGGTATAAAATGCCTGCCTTCAGTTTTCACCTCTTTTGTGTAAATCAGGGATGAAATGTTTTTATAACATTGTGTCTCACCAGGAATCTGCTGCAGTGAATTTGTTGAAGTCATTAAATATCATAGAGGACAAGGTGCCCATAAATTCACTCAAATGAATTCATGAACAGTTAAACTACTAAAACCTGATTTTCTCCCAGTTTCTTGCTCCTGATTAATTATGCTTCCAAAAGTGATTCAGTGTTGAGGGACGAACACACAAGCTTTATTCCATTAGGGGGAAAATAAAAAAAAAGCTAAAACTTTCATCCTGCCTAGCAATGTCTGCAGAAGTGGCAGAGTTTACCCTGAGGTGCTGCAGGACAGGAGCTGTCTCAGCCTGTCCAGTTTGCAGTGCATTGGCAGTCACCTGCAGGTACCCTTCACTGGAATTGCCCTGGTTCAATGTGGCACCTTTCAGATGTGCTCTGCTGTAAGGCAGGAATGCTGGTACAACTCACAAAAGGGTTTGTTAGGTAACAAATGGCAGCTGGATATAAAGTTTGGAACAAGAAAATAGTAGTGAAGTTTAACCAGATTTCAAGCATCTTATGGTGAACAGTCTGGCCAGTTCTTATTTATTGTTGTAAGTATCCTGAATTGATACTATATCTTTTCATAATGCAAACATGCCTAATAAAAGTTGATTTTTTTCTTCAGTGGATACATTACTGATATATAAAGGAGTGGCATACATTTAGAACTCTACTTTTAAGCAGATTTATTCGTGGTGGTCAGCTCAGGCCAAAAAAAGCCAGAAGACCTTTTTAGTGTTAGCCACAACTAAAACTAAATAAAGCCATCCAACTTCAAACAAAAACCAAAGAAAAGCTTTACAAACAAAATATATTGTGAAAATAGCATCTGCTTTTATAAACAATGCATTTTGCAAGATTGTTATTCAAGCAGATGGGCTATTGAGATTAAAAAATAAAATTAAAAAAATTACAGCGTTATAAAACACCTTCTTGTGAGGTTCAAATCTGGTGTAAGATTTTATCTTTTGTTTGTTTTTAAGGCTCCAACTTGTGTGTTGCTAGTTGTAGGTACTTAAATTACACAAAATCTCAGCCTTCTTCTTTGTCATGCCCTAAAGAACAGAGTATTGAGGACAGAGAGGATCAGGGGAACACAGAATGACTGACAGAGAGTCTTTGTACACTCATGAAGAGACGTAGGGGCGTGGTTACTTTTATAGCCACATTTACAAGGGCTGTAAAGGCTCATCCTGCTTCAGAAATGTCATGTTTCCTTTCCTGTATCCCATCATCATTCACAAATTTCTGCCCAGCCTAAGTTAAAACTCCCTGCCATTCAAAAGAACATGAAACGTGTTTTTATTATTCATGTATCCATTTGATTTCACACCAAACCCAAAAATGTGTTGTAGGAAAAAAAAGGGAAAAAAACGATTACAGAAATACAAGATTTCACAGAGAAATATATCAGTTTATTCAGCTGCTCATTTCTACTCCAATATGTTTGGATTTGAAAAGGAAATGTAAAAAAGGAAAGCACTTGGCTATGCAAGCAAAATTGGATTTTGTTCCTTTGGGAAACAAGGATAAGTTTCTTTTAAGTTTTCCTTGACAGAAACACAGTCTTCCTTAACTTTTGTTTTGTTTAGGAATTTGACCTTTCTTATTTATATTAATTTTCAGTAGGTGGATTAAGGCCAGGCATCCAAGCCACTATTCCTGACTGAGTGAACATATAATTTATTTTCCAGTGTCTTTGTTTTATTATCTGTCAAATGTGTGGAGGAACTCCTGAGGTCTTTACAAAAGAACCTATTTTTGTAAAACATTTAGATCCTACTTTTGCATGGTCTACTGTACTTGGAGAGGGGAGAGATCTAAAATGTGTGGTTTTATCACCAAGTTTGCAGTAAACAGTCAATTACCTTGGCAATGCATTTACTATGCACATTATTGCAAGGGGTTTATGTAGCATAGGGTGTGAAAGCTATCCTGTAGTCTACAGGAGGCTGGAAACAACATGAAGAAAATTTCTTGTCTAAATTCAGCTATTTTTCATGGACAGAGAGTCATTTTTGTGCAGAGCAGCTTTGTGGCATTCATTGCATGTTGCAGTAGCTCGCACTATCTTTTTGAAATGGAGAAGAGGAATCCATCAGCTGTTTCACAGTGGGATAATTCCTTGCGAGTGATGTCAGGTCAGTTGGATTTAAGTTGATTTATCTCATGTTTAGTGCCTATGGGAGCTGGAAATTATATTGGAAAACACTTAGGCTCAGTCATATCTGATTCTCTGAGCATGTGCTCTTGTTTAGGAAGCAGGCTCAAACTGACTTATGATACAGGAATTAATGCCTTTCAG